TATAGGCTGAAAGAGATATTTGAGAAAAACCATGGATAGTTATTCTATGCTCCAGAGGGAGGCAGCTCTGTAAATATTCATTGATGATAGTGGAGGGTGTACACAACAATTTTGATAAAAATAATTTCAAATTATAGAAGAGAATGAGAAAGGAAGGGTGTTTGAAAAATGTTTATTTGTTTCTTTGCAGTAATCTGTCTTAAATTGTTTGGACTTTGGATGTACAAAATTGTAGCAGAGCTAATTCTAAAACTCATTCGAGAACTAGAAAACATGAAATAATTTTTTTTAAATAAAAATTTCCTCTAATTTCTTGTTGCCAAATTTAGGCAAGCTGGATTATCTTTGTGCCAGTGATGCTTCAGTGACTGTGCTCTTGTGCATTCAGTGGAGAAATGTGTTCTTTTCAAGTGACTCCACCTTATAATGAAAACAATTCACTCCAGTTGTCAACCCCTACCTATCACTGCTCATGTCTTTTACTTGAAATTTTTATTAAATGATAAGGCCTAGAGAGAGAGGTACTAGGAGTATCTTCTTTAATTGCTTATGTGATCATTGGAAACTCAGAAATTATGAACACGTGGCATGAAGAAGCCCATTTGTACCTGGATTTGGCCCCTCAGAATCCTTTAGAAGAGTATTTTCTATTGGAAGCAAAGTACAACACTGCAATGTGTGTGTGTGTGTGTGTGTGTTTTAATTTCATGATTCCAAGAATGGGATACTTTTCTTTTACAATTGGTAGAGACTTATTTTGCTATGTTTCCTGCCACAAACCACATCACCAATGTTAGTTTCTGTAACCCAGAAGCCACTCCTTTTATCTTCTATACCAGGGATCCCCAACCCCCAGGCTACAGACCAATGCTGGTCTGTGGCCTGTTAGGAACCAGGTTGCACAGCAGGAGGTGAGCGGCAGGCTAGGGAGCTAAGCTTCATCTGTATTTGCAGCCTCTCCCCAGTGCTAGCATCACCGCCTCAGCTCCACCTCAGGCCTTAGATTTTCGTAGGATCACCGGTCCCTGGTGCCAAAAAGGTTGGGGACCACTGTTCTATGCCCTGTGGTTTGATCCCTGGTCAAAATGGTCGTCATCCAGGTACAACACCATGGTTATGATCTGCACTATTTTTACACCATTTCCCCCAAAAGAAAATGTGGCAATGGAAGGAAAGTGAACAGATCTTTAAGAAGGGGTGATAGATGAGACTGAAGCTAGGGATTTAAGGATGTAACTGGGGATATGCCACCTGTTACTGTCAGGGAAGGGAGGAAGGAAGGCTTGCTTATGTTATGGAAGTCCTGTGGTTTAATCTAACACTAGCTTCTGAGAAATGGGTTCTGGTTTCAGTTTGGTTACAATTATTTAAAAACTTCAGAGCTAGAATTTATAGACTTATAGTAAAAGCATATTAGTAAGTTAAATCATTGAACTTTAATTTCTTTAGCTACAAAATATGGGGAATTCCCTATTTCTTTCTCAGCCTCACTTAAACTCTCTTTCCTCTCCATTTATCCCTTAAATATCTGTGTTGCCAGTACTGTTCTGAAACTTTTGCTTTTCTTGGTCTGCATATTCTCCAAGAATAACTTCATCTAAGCCAATGACTTTAACTCCATATCATATGCATTCTGACAATCTTTGTGTCTAGACAATTTACATTTAATGTAATCATCAATGCGTTTAAATTTAGGCTTACCATTTTATTATTTTTTTCTACTTGTCTCTATTTTTTTGTTTGTTTTTGTCCCTCTCTTTTATTTATCCTTTTGTTTGTTTTTTGGTTTTCCTTTGAGGTTTTTGAACATTTTAATTTATTAATTGTATTTTTATTCTATCTCTATATTTTTTAGTGATTCCTCTAGGGATTACAGTATACATGGCTAACTCTTCATAGTGCTGATATAATTAAATTATTGTTACACTTCACCACCATATGAGTCTCTTTTCCCACTCCCTCTTATGTTGTAGTTGTCTTGTGTATTATATGTACATGCCTTGCAACCCCACCAAATAATATTATATTTTTTTTGCTTTCGACTGTCAAATATATTTTAAAGAACTCAAGAGAGGAACACTACTGTATTTACATAGATATATACATTTCTATTGTTCTTCCTTCATTCTTGATGTTATAAGTTTCTTTCTGATATCATTTTTTTTATTCTGTCTGAAGAGCTTCATTTAGTGAATCTTTGAGAGCAGGTCTGCTGACAACTAATTCTTACTTTCCTTTATCTGAGAATGTCTATTTCACCTTAATTCTTGAAAAATATTTTTACTGGATATAAAATTCTGGGTTCACAGGTCTTTTCTTTCACTATTAAAAAAAAAATGGTTCCACTGCATTTTCTGTGAGTACTCGGAGTCCACCTGGCACTTCTGAGTTGACCTGATGTCTACACTTTTTTTAAGCTTTATTTTATCAGTCTTAATTTTGTCTATATTCTTAAATGAGTTTCTATTACAAAACTGTTCCTCCTTTCTCTCTTCCTCCACTCAAATGTACTTTTTTTTTAATGTAGCTTTTTACTCTTTAGAACCAGTTAGAAAAGATTTGAGGAAAATCATTTTCTAAAGATATCAATGGTTAATAAATGATCATTGTGTTACCTTTCCCAGGGGGATTTCTTTTAAGCACAGAAGTCTTGAAAGCTGACAATGCCATAATTTAAAAAATGTAATATAGAACTCTAAGCTCTGTTTATAGGGTCGTTAGCCACAGAGACATTCCTGGGAGTCATTCAAATGACACGAGGGAGCAGCCAACCCTCACTGCTTATGTGACGTTTCAGCCACTTCAATGGTGAAGACGCTGGATGATCCATACAGCACCATCAGTGGCTTACAGATTTTCACTTTTTCTCTAACATTCCATTTGGCATTAAATAGGCAAAAAGTATGGTGAAAAAAACTTGATTAAGTCTCCTGAAATACTTATTTAAATTTTAAGCTTTAAAATGTCCACTTTTAGCTCTTTTGGCAAAATCTATGAGTTGTATTGAGAAGAGACTCAAAATTTGTGGCCTAATACCTTAACCCACTCTACTTTAAGTAAAATAGACAATGTCAAATCTTAGAAGGTGCTTTCTGGAGAGTAAAAAGGCTTGGCTCACTTTTGCAAAGTAATATTCCAAACACAAGTTATTAAAATGGCGATGTTTTTTAAGGATCTTAAAGTCCCCTTTCCTCAGGATTTCTGGGAGGTGTATTAGCTCTGCTTTATAGAAGAACATAAACTGAAGCCTAGAGAAGTTGAGAGATCTTCTCTAAGGTGTGCAGTGAGTTACCATGTGGCGAAAAGGAACTTTGATCTTGGAGCTAAAATTATAGCACTCTCCCATCTCTTAGCTACAGAAAAACTGCTGGTCAAGGGAAGGAAGGGATTGAGTAAGAGGTTGCAGTCAGCCTCCTGGCTGATGCTCTGAGCAGGGTGAGGTCAGCCAGAGAAGAAGAGTAAGTCATGCTGATGCTTTGATGTATGTCAGTGTGTGATTTATGCACTCTGTTAGACAAGCTGCTTTTTTCCTCTGTTCCTCAGGCAGTCTCATTGCTGGAGATGACTGTCAGCTGCTGTCCCTACGTAGCCACCATCACATGCCCTAGCACCGGAGCCTGGGAAGCCTGACCACAGACCAGCATCTCCGAGGCATGAATAATTAGGTAGGCATAATGGAAGGCACTCACTGCACCCTTCAATTGTGTAAGCCCATTACCGAACTCTGCTACATCAGCTTCTATCTTCCAAGGGGGGAAGTCAGAGGATTTTCATACAAGGGCACCGTAACTCTAGACAGATCCAATAAAGGGCTTCATAACTGCTACCAAGTCAGGGAGGGGTCAAACGTCATCAGCCTCAGCCTGCAGCCAAATGAACATCCAGGCGACATATTTTTCAAGCAAACTCCCACGAAAGACATTCTAACTGAGCTGTATAAACTCACAGCAGAGAGAGAGAGACTGCTGGCCAATCTGCTGAGCTCAGACCACATCCTGGGGATCACGATGGGAAACCAGGAGGGGAAGCTGCCGGAGCTATCCGTGAGCCTGGCTCCCGAAGATGACTGTTTCCAGGCTGCTGGCGACTGGCAGGGGGAGCCTCCTGTGGGCTGTCTCAATAAGAGGAGCACCCATGGGAACAAAAAGCCCCGGAGGTTTGGTGGAAGGAGAGAGAGCTTCGAGGCGCTCCCACAGAAGAGGACAAGAAGAAAAGGGCGTGGGGGCCAGGAATTGGCTCCTCAGATGGGGAAGGACCAGATCTGTTCAAGCAACTCCCTCCCTCTTTCTCGAGGGAGGCCTCACTTTTGGCTCCTGGAGGAGAGAGGCAACTTGCTCCCAAATAGGCCACGTACGTCTTCCCTGCTCAGGAGAGAAAGCTGGCCCCCAGGCGTCCCCAGGATGCTGGACCCTGGCCCTACCTGTAGGAGCTTCAGGATGGCTTCTGAAGACATTGAGTGTAGAAGGGGAAGGCTGCTCCCCGACTGCAGCTCCATAGAGCCTGGGGATGGTGGTGCTAGGGGGCTACAGAGGGAGCCTCGCAGGCTGGCACAGCAGCAAACAGAAAATCACCGGGACCCTGAGAAGCACCCAGATGCAGAGAGGGGCCAGAGGGAGAAGTCTGCTGAGCGGACTCACAGGAAGAAACCTGTTTCCAAAGTGGTGGCCAAAGTCCAGGATCTGTCTGCTCAGGTGCAGAGGGTAGTTAAAACGCATCCTGAGGGCGAGGGAAGGATTGCTGTTTGCTCAGCAGCCCAAGCTGAGTTCATACCCAGTGCAGATTTCCTTACCCTACCAGGAGCCGAGGCTGGGGCTCATGGTTCCAAACAGCGGGACAAGGAGCAGCGAGCGGATGGGTCCTTGCGGTCGTCGGCCAGGGATCATCCTCCAGCCAGCACCGAGGGGGCTGTGAACAAGGTTCTCCTGAAAGTGATAGAGAGCGAGAAGTTAAATGAAGCCTCTGAGGGGAAAAGGCTGGGTTTTCCCCTCAGCACAGCGGCCACCCACATCCTCCCAGACAGTAGAAGCAAGAGGAGAGCTGGGCTGCCTCTGAGTGGCCACAAAAACTTATTTCTGGATCTACCCAACAGTGTCGGCCCTGACACTTCACATCCTGGAGGTGATGAGGAGAGGCCATCCCCCCCAGCACTGGCAGCTCTGGGCATGGTGTTTAATAATTCATCCTCTCAGTCTGGCTCACACAAACTGATGTCAGCTGTTCCCTCGCCTCTATCTCCAAGGCTCCCCAGCCCTCAGCAGCATCACAGGATCCTCCGGCTGCCTGGTGAGCGGGAAGCCGCTCTCGATGACTCTCCTGGGAGAAAGAGCGGTGCCTTCTCTGGGTCTCCCTCTGCTGACACCTTGGAGCCATCATCCTTTGCAAAGGTCACGGAGACCAAAGGAGCCAGCTCGGCCTTCCTCAGAGCAGACCAACCTCGGTTGGTGCCTGGGGAACCTTTGGAAAAGAGCTTGGGGCCCGGGAAGATCACAGCTCGGCCTCAGCACCAGTCACCTCCAGGTTAGTCCCTGTTTAAGATGCTTTATATCTGTTTTTTGGGCTATTCACAAACTTTGTGCTCTTTAGAGACTGATAAATGAACAATGAACCAAAATTCCTAGGTCTGTTAATCAATTTACCTCGTAGCAAGAAAACTGAGAGTGGTATAGGCAAGTGTGGAGATTGTGAGGATTGTGTTGACTTATGGGATCAGGGGTGTAGTTGCTTCCAGAAACAATACTTTATAAATGTCTTTATTTTATTTCATTTTGGGGGGCATACTCTAAAGCTGCCTCCATGATTGCTTAACACAGGACTCTCAAAGGAAACAGGATCGATCGGGCAGAGAGAAGTAGTAACTTGTTGCTGCCCTTGATGCTAACTAACACTGGGTAACTGGCCCCTTGACCTAGATTTTGCTGTTCATGCTGCTGGAGCTTGAGTTTGATTCTCTAAGCAGAAGAACAAAAGCACACTGTGTCCCCACTCATCTGTATGTTATTAGAGGTTTTTGTTTTTCACTTTTATTTTTAGTAATCACCTTGTAACATCTTTATTTAATGACAAAAACCTTTTTGTTTTTATCAAAAAAGAGGTGAATTCAGTTTAATTTGAAGAGACTTAGTTCAGATTTTCTTCCCTCACACCCTTTTTTAAAAATTTCCTGAAGGAGCACAAAATAATGTTTACTCTGAAGTTATATTTTATTTATGGATTACTACTGCTACTGGTATAGCATCATTTCTTATGCAAACGGTGCTAAAGAGCTAATCTGGCTTGTATACTTAATGGGATTTAAAATGTTACATGAAAGTAATTTAGGAGATTCTGTAAGTGTGTTCAATACGACCCAAAAAGGTAGTGTAAAAAGTGTCCCTCCTGTATTCATTTTGTTTTCCAGGCCAGTATGGCCAGATGCTCAAGGTCTTGTATGCCATTGTATAGGTAACAGGTTCTTTTTCCGTGGTCCTTTACCAGCATCTGGTCAATGCCGTGTCTAGGGAATTGCTCGTAATATGATACATGATCTCTTAAAGGGTTGAGAAAACATTGTGCACAATTTTTGAGATAAAAATTTCTCTTTAAGAAAGAGAAACTTTAAAAGCTTTCTGTTTATTTTCAATTCTTGACATTTTCATAAATTTCTCTAAATCATTGGTCCGAGGGTGGTTCTTTAAAAAAAAATGTGGTAAATGCTTTCATCTTGTTTTTTCAGTATATTGATCTTAGTTTGATAAGACTTGCTTCTTTCATAATATAACCAATCTGCATGACCAAGAAAGTCATAGAATTATAGATTTTATATCATGTATCCTCAAACTCTAGTAATAAAAATTCTTTTTCTCTGTCAATGCTGGATACTTAGAAATACTTGGAAAAGAAGCTTTCTATAAATATTAGGTGAGAGACTTTGGGGGGTATGAGTGTGGAATAACTACCTTTATTCTGAAAGTTTTTTTTTTAAAGAAATTACACCAAATTCTAGGATTCTGTGCGCTTGTTGTCAAGCAACTGTACAGTAAATACATTGAGTTTCAGTAAATCATTTTGTCCCCTAATTTAGAATTATCTTTTTTTAATTGTCCTTTTTCTATATAAAAAATATTATAAAAGCTCTGTCATATCTGAGACAAGGTAGGCACCCAGAGGGACATTCAGTTTCTGTGGTGACTGACCATGAGCCCACTGCGGGGCAAGCCCAGTGGATGATCACTTTTTCCCTTTGTCTCTCCATACAGTTGCTCACAACCATTCCCTTTATTTGGTCCCAGCCTACCACTGGGGTCTTCAGTAGCGCTTTCAGGAGGCAGTCATTAGAATCACAGGGATGCCTTGGCAGCAAGACCACCTGTGCATCTAACCTTAAGAAAGGAGAATAGGAGTGTGGAGAGATCTTTTTTTTTTTTTTTTTGGCATGGATAACTTCCCTCTTATTGGGACCTTTCTCTAGCACATCCGAATATTATCTCTTATCTTGGCCCTCCTTTGAAAAGCATTAAGGGAGAGTATTCTTTAGATAGTATCTTTGATCTGTAGCCTGTGTTCCAGCCCTCCCTTGAATCCCTTGAATTCCCTTTTCCTGTAGCTAAGAGTCCTCTTCAGATTCTGGAGTTTTCAGTGACTTCCTGTAGCTGGTGGGTCCATACAGGGAAGACTCTTCCTGCTCCCAGCTGCCTTTGTCTTTCACATGATTTCTGATCCCACCCCTATTCCGGCAGAGGCTTCAAACAGTGCCCATAGCCCAGAAGAGAGGCCTGTAATTCATTTACCAACACTTTACAGTGGCCCTTTATCTGAATCTACCTACCCCCTTTCTCCCATGTTAGCTATTACCTCGTTGAATTTATGGTCTGTGGACATTTATTTCCTATGGAAATAACATGTAGGTATTTTACTGAAGTAATGCAATTAAGAATATTGAAAGCTCCCATTAACTGCTCAAATAAGAGATTAAGTCTGGCAAAAGTAATCAGAGTCCTTTCT